AAATACCTGAAGCTGAAAGATATTTCAAAGTAAAATCTGTAAGGCCTTGAGACTGATTTGTTGTAGTTCCAAAATGGTGAGAAAAGAATGATAAATGATTATATATATATAGGATTTGATCCAAGCAGAATGGTGAAGCCTAGAAAGCAGTAAGTGAATTTTAGTTAGGCGCTTGTTTGAGATAGTATTTTTATGTGTTGCCGACAGATGGAGTAAGTTGTAAGTAGCATGCTTTTCTCTTGAAGTAGTCTTTTATAGAAATACAGGTAAGAATATAAAACTGAAAATGTAGATTCTTAATTACATTTGAGGAGATAATTCACTTACCATCTTTGTAGTAGGAGAGGGGGTAAAAAGAAGCAAAGAATGAGATAAAGAAGCAGTTACCAGAAAAAGTAAGTCAGAAGCATTATAGTATAGTAATTCAGTGCATGGGATCTGGAGCAGGACTGCTCAGGTTCAATTCCTGGCTTTTTAATTTACCAGCTATGTAACCTTGAGTGAGTTGTTTTGCTTCTCTGTACCTCAACTTCTTTACCTATAACATGGGACTAGTAATAATAATCTATTTCATAGGGATATTGTATTAACTGAGTAAAACTATACCTGGTTCTTAGTAAGTGCTCTTTATTAATCATAAAGATAAAAGGGAAATCAGTAATACTCTCTGTGATAAAATAAGGAAAGAAAGTTTAAGGAAAGACGCTAAAAAGTTTCAAATACCCAGAAAAATTTTTTAAGTAGGAAATTATTGGAGAATTAAAGGCCACTGTTAATCACATGGTGAGAGCAAAATCATTATTTCGTACTAATATTATTTCCTAAAAGTGACCAGTCCAGTTAGGTAAAGAGAGAAAATGGTATGAAGGGAAAAAATGCTGATTTGGAATTTTGGATATACAAAGGAGTTAAATACAAGTTAGATAAGGGAGCCTCCCATAACCCCTGCTACTCAAGAGGGAATGGCTTGTGTTAAAGAATAAAAAGGAGCTTGAAAAGATAGAGAAATTAGAGATGAGATTGCTATGAGGGAAGAAGATGTCTCAGGATTAGTAGAAAGTTAATATTTAAGGTGTTAAGGTCCTACTGTATGGAGGGTGGGAGGTCTAAGTATACAATTTTGTCTATAATGAAAAGAAAAGGAAGATGGAGAAAAAAAGTGTTTTGGAAAATGGAAAAAATTCAAATGTAGTCAATTGCAGTGAGTAAGGAAGTTCGTTCTGAAAAATCATGATTTCTTTCAGGTAAAGTTTATCTGTTGAAAGGTAAATAAAATACATGGGAATAGACAGTTGATGAAAAGGATAAAGGTACAAAATAGCAATTATGAGGAAAATAAGCTATAGAATACAAATAAATTCTGAAAAACCTGGGTAGATTGGACAACATGAGTTTCTATTAGTGCGGAGGGGTTTCAGATAGTTCAGACATTGGAAGAAGAGGAGGATACTTGTCACAATGAAAAACCTAAGATGTCAGTTACATATTAACATATTTTATCCTTTTTTAAAATAAAGCACTATACTGATTTATTTAACAGAACTCGAAACACAGGTTTGGGAAGGTGATTACTTCACTAATATTACTCAGCTAATAATAGATTTTGAATTACAATTGAGAGTTGTTGTTTATTGCTGGTCTCACTATACCTATAAATATCAGAGGTTCTTGACAGTTTGTTACTGTAGATTTGCTTGGAGGTAAGCTGCATATATTATAGAGTTTATTTATAGCAATATTTTCTGGTCCAGCAAAACTGTCACTTGTTAACAAGAGTGCATTTTACAATTTGTAATTACTTTCTAGTTCTTATTCCCAGAAGCCTACTTATATCCACATTTAACTATTGTCAAATCATTAATATTTTTAAACTATTTCAAAGGATCCACTATTTTGAAGTTGTAAAATACTTTAAATTTTTCTGCAATAAGTAATTCAGCCTTCAATCTTTAAAACGGAATTCTTAAACAATAAATACGTGTAAATAAAAACATATTACACTTTTCCATTTGAAAGATAAAATCGTGCTAAAAAATGACTGTCCTTCACAATCACTATTTCATAAATGTAAAGAAAGCATTTTAAAGGAGAATGTACTTCATTCATTTTTTATAATAAATATTTTAATATACTGTTGCTTATATGGATATTCAGTTACCTCTTCATGATGCATAACAGAAATTTTACTAAATGATTTTTAACCTGAAACCACAAATTTTTAATCTGTGTAGTAAGTAGGAGTAAATGCTTTGTTTATAAGATACAGGGAAACAAATCTATCATATACTTATATTGTACCTTGAACTATTTCTTATGGATTCTTTGGTTCTATTTCTGTTGTTAAGAAAACCATCAAGGCTGTTTCATTAATCTAATTAATAAACATTTTAAATTAAAGGTACTATTTTAATATATTTACATTTATCTGTTTTTTAGACCAATTTTTTGTAGCTAATACTTTAAAAAAATCAACCAAAATGAAAACTTTCTGGAATCCTTCTATTGTTATATTAGTTAAGGGAGAAGAAAATATTTTGTATTTAAAGTATCTATATGAATAATAGCTTCAAAACTCATCATGTGTTTATTTCATTATATGTTCATTATTTTAGGAATTTAAATGAAGAAAATATATTTAGAGACAATTTATTGTGATATTTTGATAATCTTATCCCTTGAAGCTCAAGTTTATATAATTTTCACCAATTTATTTGAAATATTAAACTTTAATTTCTTATCAGATTATGATGTTTTAATAAGCAAATTTTTAATGATTTAAACTCTTACTATTTTGCTTGAAGTTTAAACTTATTGTTTTTTGTTTCTGTGAGGAATAAATAGCATCAGAATTATTAAGGGGATGTTGATGACTATGAGTTGTATCAGTTACTAATAATACATGTCCAGTATTTCATATATATGCCAAGCAAAAAGAAAGGGATTGAATAAATCGACAGAATATAATATTAATCTAGGTGACTACAAATTCTGAACCATTTGATATTGATACTTTTTCCACATCATTCTTTGCAGTGTTTTAATACCTTATTGAGAATTCATATCCAGGGCAATGTGGATGTCCTGGTGAACCTATCATTCTTCAGGGGGATTTTACCTGATGGAAATACAAGAACCCAACACATACTTAGTGCTTCTGGAGGTTAATGAACTTAAATTCTAACCTGTTTGGGGAGAAATGACCTCTAGGTTTATTTCACATCTGTTTCATCAGCAACCTCATAATCTGAGATAAGTACAGAACAGATTTTTAAATGTATGTTAACTACTCCCAGGAATTCTCTGTAATAACGGTCGTAACCAGAGGTGGGAAAATAAAATCTTTACCGCTTATCATATAGTAGCATAAAGTCAATAATATATATTCCAGCATAGAATTGCATGAAAAGAAAATATTAGAGCAATTTTTAATAACTGAAAATGAAAGTCTCTCTGGAGAAATCATGGGAATTTATTACGAAGAGTGAAATAGAAAACAAAGTTTTGAAGATTTTGTTTCTTCTTTTATGAGGTTTTTATTTCTGAATGTAGCTCCTGTCCCCTTTTTAAATACTATTTAATAAAAACCTTGGTATAACTCAACATTAAGTCTAGTTTTCCTCAAAGTATTTTAGGTTTTAACTTAGAAGAACCAGGAATCACTTGAGGAGTGGACTATGTATAACATGATTTGTTGTTAGAACCAATCTTACTTTGTTACGGGAGAACAGTAAGTTAAGTAGAAGCCTGTGAATTTCCTATCCTTTCGTTTATGCTTAACTGCTTTGTTCTACTCAAATCAGAACTTTTGAAATCTCAAATGAAGAAATGTGATTTTATAAAGTAATTTTATCTGCTTTTGCTCACATTGCTGAACCTTTAAAGTTATGCTTTTGCTCATATCTGAGTAATTTTGATGCATATTTATTAACATAAAACAAAATGTCCACACAGAATAGTGTCTATACTATAAAACTACCCCATTTCACCTATTAGGAAATATTATCTATTGAGGGTGCTACTTAAGCAATGCTATTTGCTAAGTGAAAATATATTTTAAAAAAAAGTTTAACTTCTTATACTTCAAGGTTATTCTATTGGACTTGAGAAGTTTTTTAAAATATATTAATTGATTGTTCAACAAGTAGATTATGGTCTTGTACAACATATTTTATATATATATATATATATTTTATATATAGTATGTAGAAGCATTTCAGAATGAAGTGGACAATAAATATGATTCCTAATTTTTTGTGCTTATTTTCAACACAGGCTGATAATGCTACAATACATTTATATTAAATATTTAGTCTTCAACATAAATGATAAAAATATTATGGCAATTTGTTAAAATGCTGTTAGTTACTTGTTTATTAATATGAGGTTAATGTTTACATTTTCAGACGGGCTCTAAATTTGTTAAAAATTAATATTTTAGAAGATAATGTGATTTAAGAACTCAGAACTGCAAATTTAGTTGCTTTTAAGTATGGATCCCTAAATTCATGTGGAATCAACTTGTTGGTGATGTTCAACATATTAAGTAGGTGGATGCTTTTATGCCAAAGTAAACTTCATTTCACCACTTCTTCCAATCCCCGACTGTATTCATTGATAGGAAAATGACTCTTTCAGTTTTACTCATTGAATTTCTTGAATTTTTGTTTGACATCTCTTTTCCCCCAAACAAAAAAGAGGGAAAGAAAAGAGACTACTATTCATGAATATGGTCAGGATACCTTTAATACTCATGTGAATTTTTATCAGTCACCATCATGATTTCAAGTCATGAATTTATTTTTACATGCTTATGCATGCATATTTACATGCATTAGTTACTTAATTGATCTTAAATTCCATTAAATTTGAATGAGTAGGAGAAAAATTTGTTCATAGGATTTTGTTCTCGTTATATTACATTTTATTTTATTTTGTTTTATTTAAATAATCAGTTTAAGGCTTTTAAAGGTTGATTTGCTCCTGAACTGCTTTGTTCCCAGACATTGCCATCTTCCCCAACTACCACCAAGTCCTCTCCATCTGATCCCATGACCACCTCCAGAGCTAATCAGGTACAGTATCATCCTGTCATCTACACCATACTTTTCACGGGTGATTGCCTGCACACTGGAGAAAAAGATAATGGTGGGTTAAGGATGTATTCGTTCATTCACATATGTGCACCATAATCAGATTCCAAATAACCTGAAAAAGAAATATCAATTATTCCTGAAAATTTCTATGCATTTTTTAACTTTAGATAACAAAAATATATTCAGAAGGTAGACTACTTGAATTTGGGATTTTTCCCTTAAAATTATGACTTTATGGAGCTCTGTGGGTTATTCATTGAGTCACTGTTTATAATCTTCATTATTTATTCTTCTTAGAATTATTGGTATATAAGTTAAAAGTATCATATATGTAAAAAAATGTATAAATACGACTTATTGAGCAAAGGTATATCTTTAAAAGTGAATGCATTTTCATTTGTTTTTTATTTCAGACATGCCTTACTATGTAAACAATTTTCAACTTTCAGTGAAAAACATTTCTAGCAATCCAAAAGTAACTGAAAATTGGTGTTTGTGATAATTTTATTTGTTTTACAAATTAGGAAATGATATATTCCTCTAATTTAGTATGACCATTTTCTTTGGTGGAGTGGCAGACTTTGCAATCAGAAATATATTAGTTTGATTTGATGATTGTTTTGGTACCGAATATTTGTAGGTCATTTTTCAAATATGTAGTTATTTTTGGCACATTTGAGTAAATCACCTAAAATATTTTATGTAATTCAGAGCCATACTGTATTTGACAAATGTTGAAAATATATTCATTAAAATGATTAAACACATTTTCATTTTGTCTGAGTTGAGATTCATTTAGGTGAGAGATGTTATTTTCTTTAATATTTCTACTTTTTCAGTTAATACAGGCCTTATGGGATTATTAAATTATTAAGTAAAAGCTTATCTTTTTAAATATTTTTCATATAGTTGACCAATAAATTATTAACTTTGAACTATATTTGCTAACTAAGTTAAATTTGCCTTTTGCATGTAATCCTATCTAAGACTGTCAGAATAATTTTGCTTATTTATTGAGTTTAATAGTTTACGACCTCAGGAAAAATGTTAAAATAATAGCTAGAAGCAAAGTAGGAGATTGATTGTCATTTTATGCAGTAGCATTCCCTTTAGACAAAACTATAACACTCACATTTTAGTCCCAATAACTTGGTTAAAATACTACATTATCTCTAGTGATGAATCCCAGCACTTCTTGTTGAAGGAAATGATACAATGTAAAGTGAGAACAAAGCTTGTAATATTAATGCATGAGATTAAAAAGTGTTTATGCATTTTCACTCTATATACCTTATCTCTTAAGTGAACCTTAATTACATGATATAGAAAACTATAGGGATAACAACTAACTTTATTTTTTAATTATTTCTCTTATACTTTATCATTCTTTACTTTCCACACAAAAACAAGACAAATGAGTGCAGCAGCAATAAAAACAAAACTAATGATTTTTCTGAATGAACAACGTAAAAAATCCTAGATCTGGAAAGAAAAACTATCTCAGTAATTTTGTCTTTGAAATTAGATTTGTATTTTCTTTTGTTTAGTTTTATGTGCATGTGAATTTCTGTTAAATCATTTCTTAAAAAGGCTAGTTTATAAAGTCTACTAATATTTTAACCCTCTAGATATGTTACTGTGTCCACCTCTGCCAATTCTTTTTCTAATATATGAAATAGTAATTCATTGTGGTTTTGTACTTCTTCCACTATATGCAGTTATAGTTGTTAAATATATTTTATTTATATTCTGGTTTCTTCTGTTTTTATACAAACAAGCATAATATCTCCTGGAAAACATGAGGCAAGATATACAAGAAGAACAAAACAAGATTCTTAAATTTATTAAAGGAATTATAGTCATTGTCCATCATTTTATTAGTAGTTTGTGATCATTTTATTCCCTCAGTATTTCCCAGTGGATTCAGATTCACACTATATTAGCTTAGATCTGTAAAAGTAATCAAGATAGAAGAATGGGTTCTAATATAATCATCTTAATGTCTCCACAATTAAGATGAACTTTTAAACCCGTAAGAAAATTATTTTTATGTGTTACAGCTAATATGATACCCTCTGCTGTTAAAACTATAAACTTTTTCCTTGTGAACTTTTATAAACCAATATAAAATACGTCCAGACAACTGTTTGTGTTATTTTCATCAATAAGAGCTAAATGAGATATGATTGATTTCTATTTCCAGAATAAATAGTTTGTCTATGTTATAGTGATGTCACATTATCACAGTAGTGTGATAAAAAGGTCTAAGGGACTATTTTTTTCAGAAAACCCGAAAGTAAAAAGCACGGAAAATATACCAAAGAGTAAGTTTTATTGCAGTTTCAACATTAAAACCTTTTCTATTCTTTTAAAAATGATTACATGTTTCAGTACATACTAAATTTTACTTTTTCTACCCTCATGTTTCTACAGGTTAGACTATTTCCACAGGTCAGAGTGGCAGACTGTAACTACAGTAGTGTGGGTCTATAATAATTTCCCACTGAAAATTGAAGGACTCTCGTAAAGAGAAGTCCTCCAGAATGGTGGTTATAAGTCAAGACTGGTGCCAAATTGCCAATGATCAAATCCTTGTTCTGGCACTTACTTGCTGAGTAAATTGGGTTTCATTTTCTCCTTTTGGAAATTCAAATAATAGTAACATCTTCATAGGGTTGAAGAAGGAAATAAATTTATTGTTCTTGAACAGTACAGCATCTAGAATGTAATGTTAACCATAAATGTTAGGCTATGTTTATTTTATTTTTTTTCTGAAATATCTTTCAAGTGATATGAAAAAGAAAGAGTATTCTTTAAGACGGTAAATGGCATAGCAAAGAGCTTTTGAAAACTGAGTTTCCCCTCTAAATAAGAATTCTAAGGTACTAGTGTTGCTGCTTTTTTAGCTCCAAAATATTTATGTAAGCAGAGTCTCTGTATTCTTTTTCTAGATAGTTTAAACTGCTCTACAGTTATTTTCTTCACTAGTGAGAGTACAAAGTTGTATGTTGTCTAATGATAAAGCAAACTGCTATTACTTCGCTAATAAGAAGGAAACATTAGTAGGACTAATAGTTTTACAACTTGGACTTCTTTTTTTTTTTTTGATGTGTCACATATTGCAAGGTACAACTTTGAAATTTCTTACATATGGAATTTTAAGTATGAAGTAAATATAAAGATATAATAAATATAATTAGATTCTTTAAGCAATGTATTTTCAAAAACCTTTAAAACAAAATAAAAAACATTGAGTTGGGTTTGATCATCAGTTTTAAGTTATTGATACTAAATTTTTCAGTCACTTCCAAATTCAACAAAATGGTTTTGCTAATCAGTCAGTGGTACTAAAAATTAAATTCCAGCTTTAATTTTAGGTTCCTGGTTGTTAGCTCTCCTGGAAGTCTACTCAAATTTCATGAAGAGAAAAAGAAAAAATAATGATTGCAAAAATATGTAATTTATAGACATTTGCTTATTTACTGATGAATTTGAAATTATTTACTAAGATGTAATAAAACGTGAAAGTAGGTGACTCTTATTTAGCACCCTTGCTGTGGTTACAGAAAAACACAGGCAAAACTCAGCTGGTCTTTCTTTAAATTCATGACTGTAGATCTCAACTAGACCTTTAATTCTTTCAGTCATAAGCCCATTCACTTTTTTACTTTGTAGATGGCTATTTCGTTAGTTCTCTTAACCCCTGTGTTAGTTTACTTTTGCTGTGTAACAAATTATGCAGTGAATCAAACAGCACCCATTTATTATCTTATAGTTTCCATAGGTCAAAAATGCAGGCACTTCACCGAGTTCTCTGTTCATGGTCTCACAAAACTGCAAAAAGTACTGGAAGAAGTGCATTCTCATCTAGAAGCTTGACTGGAGCCTAACCTAATCCCCTTTTAAGTGGTTCCAGGTTGATGGTAGCATTCAGTTCCCTGCAGTTGTATGGCTGAGGGTGCTGACTTCTTACTGTCTATTGGCAAGAGGCAACCTCAGATTCTAGAGGCTGCCCAAGTTCCCTGCAGTATGACACTCTCTCCAGGGGGCACTTTGACCATGGCTGGTTGCATCTTGCAAAGCCAGCAGGAGAATCTTTCTTCAGTGTGTGCTACAAGATGGAGTCTTATATATTAAACCTAAATACAGGAGTGACTTCTCACCTCCTTTGCCATACAACATAACTTAATCACAGTACTGACCTTCCGTCTTTCTGACACATTCTGTTGATTAGAACCAAGTCACAATTTTCACCCACGTTCAAATGGAGAGAAATGCACAAAACGTAGCACCAAGGAGGCAGAGATCATGGGGCTATCTAAGAATTCCCATAACAGACCCTACAATATCTCTTACTCCATCCCCATTCCCAACTGATGACCTTACTTCCTACTTCACTGAGCCAGTATTTAAACCCACATATTCTACATTCTCTGCTATTATCTTATCATCTCCTACCAAAAGCCAGTAATTTCAGTTGCACGTTAAATCTCATCTTTCTTCCTTTACTCAAGGACATCCCTTCAGCAGTTCTTCCTTCTTCTTTATCTTTCAAGTTTTTTGCCTCTGTGGAATCATTCCCATCAGCATACATATATGTTTTTTTCTCCCATCTTAAAAGACAAAACAAAACTTCTTTCAATCCCACTTCCCCCACCAACTAATGCCTCATCCTTATACTCCTTTGTAGCAAAATTCACAAATTATTTTCTCTACTTTTTTCCAGTATCTCTCTTCCCGTTCTTTCTTAAATCCACTTCAGCAAGATTTTTTTCCTCCACCATTCCACCAACACCGTGTTTGCCAACAACATCAATGATGACCACACTGCTAATTCCAGTTGTCTGTTCTCAGTCCACATGTTACTTGGCCTATCAGCAATATTTGTCATAATTTATCACTTCCATTTCCTTGGTGTGCCTTCTTTACTTGGCTTCCAGGATACTGCACACTCATGATTTGTCTCCTGCATTATATCA